CTGCCCTTATTTTATAACACCACCACAGAGAGAAATCCACAGTATCTGTGAAGTGCTAAGTCCTCTGAGGCCAGGCTGCTTCCAGCCAGCAGTCAGGAGTCAGAGGTCAGGATGAACCTAGCTGTAAATCTGTGCTGTTCTGAGTTCAAACTTAGGATTGTTGCTAAATGTCCTCTCAAAAGGAGGCTGAAACTTAGTCTCAGAAACTACACTGCCCCCCCCCAAAAAAAGGAAATGCAAAAGTAATTCAATGACCAGTCTATCAAACACTTTAGAAACAATCCTTCCCCAGTCTTGGAAAAGGGGGTGAAGGGATGAAATACCGAGCAAGCTCAGGGGAAAAACAAATAGAGCATTTAAAAGCTTTATCTAATTACCCCCACTGAGACTTTTTCTCTTCAGTCTGGCTGTCTGACAAAACCAGTGGGGGTTTTCATTCTCTCTCTCTCCACCCGGTGAGTTCCACCGCCCTCAAGAGCCCTCAGGTGAATCGTTGCAGCAGCAGCCAGTCAGTCCCCAGGCCCCGGCCTTTACGGAGGTTTTCAAATTCTCTCAGCATTAGCTGCCTGAATCACACAGAACAAACAGTCTCCACCCTCTCCCACTGCTTTGTCTGAAGCACCTATTCACCAGGAGTCACTGCTCCCGATGGGGCAGACGGCTAACCTGCAGCCTGCAGGCCCATCAAAGCAGGATGCAGGATCGGAGCTCCCTGTCCCCGCCTCCCCACCCGCCCGCCCCCAATTCAGCTGCCAACAAGCAGGGTGAACTCTCCAGGCATGCTCGGCTGCCCTTCAGCCCATGTTGGGCACCCGAGGAACGTGACAAGAGAGACCTTGAGAAGAGCTGGCTGATGACACAGCTCGAGAAGACTAACTGCTAACTAGGAAAGGCTCCTCCCCACCTTCCTCATTCTTCGGCCTCTGCAGTAAAGAAAACACCAGCAGACAGGTTTCTTTTCCTTGGTCGGCTTGCCATGTGGGAGTGGGGGAAATTAAAAGTAAGCGATGCATTTCAGAAAGCACATCGCATGCCTCCCTCTGGGTTCAGATGGTACACCTCTTACCCCTGACTTAGCCTCTACCCCTGGGCATGGCAAGCTTTCTTTGACCCGTGCACTTGAGAGACACGATTGTTTCTGCTCAAGAACTTGCAGTCTAAACCTAAAAACTGAGAGAAAAGAAACGGGAAAACCCATCAACACGGCCTGTTTGATAGGTCAAAAAGACACGCATAACCTTGAGGCAGGAAAGCTTCTGGCTTTGCAGCAGGCCTGCCTCTCAACAAAAGTGATAGCTTCTAGCCACTAGTTCAAGCCTACCTGCATCTTTCATCCCTGTGAAAACTTCAAGAACCCTGAAACACACTTAAGACAAAATGCAAACCACAATACTTTTTGCCTTCTAACATCTGCTCAGTCCCTCCAAATACATTCGAAACCTAGAATAATTGTTTTTAAAAGGGTTATCTATGTGCTGGATTGAATAAACAGAGCCAGAGAAGTAGGGTGACATGGGCCAGAAACAGCCACATCCACAACTAATCTGGGAGGAAAGCAAACTATTGTCTCATCAGGAGGGACCACACTGTAGTTACTTACTATTGATACTATATTGCACCTCTATCTTTTGAACGCAAATACGTTTAATAAAATACAAAGGTAAAACATCACCTTTGTGGACTATGTAGACTTTCCAAAACAAACATAAAAATCTGCTATTAATGTGAAAGCAGGTAAAGTTACACACACATAACAACGAGGAAGTTCAACCTCTTAAAAGACAAGAAAGTCATCCCAGACAAGCTGCCATTTGATAGCACAGCACCGGGTCAGAGAGTACTAAACTTCAATTAAAGACACTTACAAACGTTATTTAAATAACAAAAACAAAAACCAACTTTAACATCCTACCTTCCTAGGTCAAAAAAACATGTAGGATTCAGAAATTAATTAAACCTAGTAAATAATGTAAAACAGGGAAGGACTCCCTTTCAAAAAAGCTTTGGTTAATTTTAGCATCCTTCTGTTTAGCTGCTTAGCAACCCTTATCCTATGACCTTCTAAGCACCACCTACTTTTCAGAAGGATAATGAATAGAAACATCAAAAGGACCCACTTCTCACTACTTCTAGAGGGGCCTGTTTAGCCAATTTTTGTAAGTTTATATTAACTATGCCATGCAAAACCCTAAGAGGATAGAATTTTTCAACTTCATTAACCAGGAAATGTACTTAGCTGAAGCTGCTAAGTGATGTTAGCAAGTGAGCACACAATAGCGAGAAAGACTTCCCAACTGACCTAGGAAGTGAACCAACACAGCAGTTCAAAACAGCCAAGTAAAAAACAGAAGTCTCCTAACAGCTGTCAGTCAGTGCCTGACTGAGGGCAGATAACCCATAAACAGCTGTTGATCGGATGAGGACGAAGGCACTCAGGTTTTATTTTCCTCCTTCCACAGGCAAGTACCCCTACTGGATGCAAATGAGCTCTCTTCAGGTTGATAGTTCTGCCTGAAGAAATCTAAGAAGCACCTTCCATCAAAAGGTCACTTGTCCAATGATGTAAATGGTTAGGAATGGATGAACCACCCGTACCAGTTGAGTCAGACAAATGCTCCCCATCCCGTCCATGGTAAAAGTTTCAGATGAGAAATAAAGTGGTATCCAGGGAAATGGGGAGAATCGTATCCCATGTACCACCGAGCATCAGCAGCCTTTCTTAGGAGTTGAGCCTTTCTTAAAAACCAAGCACCCTGAAAAGACAACTATCCTACTTTAAAAAAAAAAAAACTTTAAGATTGGGACAGTGTAAGTTAACTAATCCGAAATGGAGAAGGGGACACAATTAAATCAAAGTACTCCTCTCTCTTTCTTCTGTAAAAATTGTGTAAGGAATTTTTTTTCACACATTTAAAACTTGATTAGAGCCATTCAAATGTTTAATTCATCAGTGTAACCAAATACGTCAAAGCAAGACCCATCAGTAGATACCCCAATGGATAGAGGTAAAAACAAAACAAAAACCCAACTCCAAAGCTCTAAAACGAGTCCATCCTTGCACATAAAGTCTGAAGAGTACACTGAACTCTTTCCATAAAAACCAAGGCTTCTTTAAGATCGCACAGAATTTTCTTGCGAATTTAAACCAAGACTTTAGCTTCCAACTCAGACTTCCGGGTTAAATTCTCTTGGAAACTATACCTGCCTACTCAAGAAAGCATCAAACTCAGAGGATGTGAAAAAACAGCAACACATTCTTTTCTTGGCTGTGCTCATCTCTCCACCTTCCACTCCAATTAACTATTGCACAATACACTCGCACTCAGACACAGACCACCATATTATCTGAAAAAGGAATCTCACAACCAGGGGATGCACAAGCAGCAGGTCAGCCTTTGCAGAAATCATTTGCAGAAATACTTCGCCAACTTCCAGCATCCAACAGAAAAACTTTCTTTCCCTAAGCTTTAACAGGGATATGCTTAGCTCTAAACTCTAAAACAAGACCGAGGGCTGAAAACCTGAAGGCAAGGTTTTCAACATCCCCAAAAGGCTATTTTTTATTCACCCCTGTATCGATCTCCACCACCACCTCTACCAGCATCCCCAAAGAAAATCCCCTCCGAAGTGCCCCTAATGTGTGCTGCTGCTGGCTCTGAAGCCGTGTAGAATTTCGTAATGGAATGTGAACTGCTCGTCCGGATCTGGGCTCACGTTCTATCTCTTAACCAGTAAGGAGCGAGGGAGGGCAAATCTGCTGAGCAAGGAGAAATAACTTTCCTCCTCTTTTATAACCCATCACGGATGCACCGAGGACGAGGGACGCAAGCTGCACGCGGCGCCTGTCAAGTGGCCGAGCCCGAGCCCAGTGGGGTCCCCAAGCCCCGAGACCTCGCCCGGCTGCCCGCAGGCACCGTCGCCGCGCCCCGCACTCACCCGGGGCCGGAGAGCGGGTCACATCCTCGACGCGACCCTGGCCCTGTACAGAAAACACACCGCCTCCCAGGGAGGGGGCCGGCGACGGGAAGGACCTCCCCTGCTCCTTAGCAACCATTAAGGTCGCAGTTTCCTAAGAGACCGCGAACGGGGTGGGGGAGCGGGGAGCTGGGCCTGATGGGGGGGGGCTGCCTCTCGTCGTCGTCGGTTTCCCCCCCACCCACCCCACCACAGTCACCGGCTTCCCCCACTCTCCTCGCTCGGCGGTGCGGGCCGGGGTGTGAGGAGAAAGTGAAGCCCCAGAACTCCAGAAAAAATTGGTCCAGCGGGTGGCGGACAAAAGTTTCCTAGCGCGCTCCACAGCTGGGCGGTGGGGCGGGCGCCGGCCCCGCCTCGGATGCTCCCGGCCTCCTTCCTGTGCTCGTGACGGCGCCGGGCGCGAGCCCCCCCTCCGCGATGCAAGCTCGCCCCACGCTGGGGGCTCCCCCAAAGCTCGTACTCAGTCAGCCTCAGAGTCACCAACAATACGTGTCGGCCCGGCCCGGGTCGCCGCCTCCCCTCCTCCCC